TATATATATATAAAACTACTCACTGATAGATGTTACAAATATATATAGATATTCGCACCAGGTTATTATTTTACCCATCAAGTTTTGAGTAAATGGTTCAACCAAATATTTTAGTGGATTATCCCGCTTACAAGCACAAATTTTTAAAATAATTCTATTTATTAAGTTTTGAGTGGATGAGTTATAGCTAGCACAAATATTATAATTGGATTTAACTAGTAAATATTTTTTATCTCTTTTACATACTATGCCTTGCAAGACTGTTTTTTCAAACTGGATTATCAATGTTGTTGTGAGATTTATGAGATTTTATTTTTTTTAAGCAAAATTTTATTGTAAGTTTTACTTATGGTTTAATTCTGGCACTAAACGACAAGAATTTCTTGAAAAATAAATATTTTTATTTTAACGAAAATTAATCCCTTTCGCTTTAAATTTCCATCTACTTTATTTTCCTTCCCATGTTTTTATTTCTTTAAAACCTCCTTTTATCTTGTCTTCATTTTCTTTTTTCTTTTCCTCTTTTTATATTTGCTCTTTCATATTTCTATTTAATTTTTTCTCATTTCCTCCTTATTTTCTTTCCTACTTCCTTTCTTTATTCCTCCTTTTCTAATCACACGTCCCAAATCCCTGTTTCAAACCAAAACTCCCCCGTTTCCCCTGGGCCAGAGCCCCTCTGGCACAATTTCTTTTCAAGTGAGCCTTTTCATTTTTTAAAATTTTCCCATAATGTTCGATATTTGTATTGGGCTCAATTAAATTTGGATTGACGGAAAGTCTATAGTAGGTAAAGCGTTCCTTAATAAACCTACGCTCGAACTCGACTGAAGAAGTACTTACCACTAATATGAGTAAGTAATTCGAATTTGTCTCAATTTTTCCTCTTTCACTGTATACCTATATTGAAAATGTACTGCGTTATCTTAAAAGTTTATCTGTTGCTAGTACCTCTAATAGTTTGTTTTTTTCAGGTTTCCTTCCCTTTATATTTCCTTATGACACTAAATCTACAGTTTTAGTACATGATTTAAATTATCTGACAGCTTGAGCATATAAATTAATGAAGTTCTGTCAAGCATTTCCAGGCAGAAAATATTTGTTCATGAATTTTTCTAACTCCTTGAACTGCAGATAGTAATAACCAGTGGCGGACTTAAGATTTTGCATAAACGAGTTCAGTCAAATACGAGGGCAAGTAATAGTATAAATAGTCGGGTGTGACAACCAGGATTTGATCATTTTATTTATTTATTTATTATTCTTAATACAATCTCAAAATGAAGTTATTTTAAAGTTAGCACTCTATAGTTTAACATAATAAAAAGGTTTTTTTATCTATCTACTTGTAGAAACTTATTTAGTAATTTACAAATTTTATTTCAAAAAATTCAATTTAACAAAAAATTATTAACTCTAAAATATTTAAATAAATCTAGAGTTTTTTTTGTTACTGATAAGAAGTTGTTATATGAAAGAGCGAAGAGAATAAATCTATAAACACTAAACTAATTCAAGTAACAACTTTTTGGAGCTATAAACCAAACTAGAAAATTAAGTATAAAGCAAATAAACGTCATTAAACTAAATAAAACTAACTAATTATAAATAATTTCAACAAATATATTTGCATTTTATCAAATTTTAAGAAATAACGAACCAATTTCACTTTGTAGGTAGGTTTGTTTTTTTGAAACAGATTAAACTATAGAATAATTTTTATTGTATTCCGGCAAAAAGGAAAGATAAAGTAACTATCGGTTGCGTACACTTCGTCCCAAAATACAGATTAAAATAACAATTCGAAAATGGGCAAAATAGGTTCGAACTTGGTACCCCGTACATTTAGGACCCGTTTGACCGTAGATTTTGCCAAAATAAATTTGGGTTTTATTTGGCAAACACATATTTGATCATAGATTTTGCCTACATTTTGGCAAAATCCCAAATCCCAAAGCCAAAATATCACTATTACATTTTTTAAAAATTGCCCCAAACTTTTATATTTTATAAAAGAGCCCACAATTTGTTATTTTGTAACAATGTTATTTCGTCTTCTCGGTCACCTGATTGTATATCATGTAATTCATTATAAAAATGATATTTTTGTATCAAATTTATTTATGTTCAGGAATATGGTTTGCGATAATATAATGAATGTTATTGATAATGGTACTGTTGGGTATTTGTGATAGTTTTTAGAACTTGTGGGTATAAGTCATGTTTCATATTTTTTCAAAATAAATTTGGGAAATATGTTTTGAAAACTGATGTCCAAACACATTTTCATCTTCAAACCAAACTTCACCCAAATCAGATTTTTCAGAACAAATTTGGGAATCTATGGCCAAACGCTAGCTTAGAACCCGTTTGACGGCATCGACAAAGAGCACAATTGTTTGAAGCGGGTTCATTTTATTAATTTCTATACAAATATCATCTGTTTATGTATAATTTATTAATATATACAATTTAATTTTTCAACAAAGCGGGTTCAACTGTGAACCCTTGACACCACGTGGGTGCAGGAGATACTCTTTTTATATCCGATTGCATCCCCCGGATGCTAAGGAATGCAATTTATTACTTCATCCAACAAAAACAAATTGATGGAATTTTGAAATTTAATCTCTTAAAACATTAATGGCATTTGCCAAATTGCAACATTGTTTTGAGCAAACGAACCCATTTCTAATCAATTTTTAAATTTATAGGTATTTGTATTTTGGTAGCTGAGTATGAAATTCCAAAGAGTGCTCGGGATCAGGTATTTTTGTTATTGGCATAAAACTCGTTGGTGTAAAATGTAAATATGTTGCTGGTTTTTCCTTTATATTTAGACAGTTATTTTGGTTTCTTATTATTGTCTAATTAAATTCATTGCACCGTTGCACGTGAAATGTAAGTATCAGCATTATCTATCCTCATATTAGTCCTCTACTTCTTTGTCAGTGTTAGGATTTATGAGTAAATGCTTAGTGATATCTCTCGGGACGCTCTTCTCATAGTGTTAGAAACCAGCAGAGAAAGCCACGAGGATATGGAGTGTAAAACACTAATTTGACTTAAGTATTATAGTAGTGGTTGTTGAATAATGTATCAATGTAATGACTAGAAAAGTTTAAATAATTAAATAAATTTGTGTTTTTAAACAATAGCTTTGGAATATCCCAGTGATGAAAAGAGTAAGTATTTTACAGTCTTATGACACAGTGATTGACCAATCTTTCCATAGTTTTGTTGTAATTTCCATAGTATGTTTTTCCTGTCTGCCTTGTTTATACAAGTGCTGAACTTATCGAAAATTATCTGTTGGTTGTAAAGTTGTTTTGCCGTGAAACTTTGTTTTTTTTAAAATCTAGTTTCCTTACCAGATGTTAATTTATTTTGATTCCTTCAACTGATATGATAGCTTTTTGAACACATTTCTTTATGAAAAGATATATCTCCGTTACACAACGTGCGAAACTCCCTGCAATGAACTATCACTTAATTGAACAGGTTACTTCATGAAGCAATTTGCTTTAGTATGTTCTCTTGGTCTTCTTCTTCTTAAAAAGAGGCGGCTATATAATCCTTATTTTGCTAGTCGAGTAAGTTATATAAAAATGACATAAATGTTTTGCTAGAACAAGAAAGAAGGGATAAGGTTGGTGATACTTCTTCAGTACTTGCGCCATTAACTTCATCTCACTCTGAGCTGCAAATTAAAGAGGAAAAAGAAATTGACGTGACTGGGATTGAACAAGGAAATGGAGGAATTTTATTTCCTTTTATCTTATCAGAATACACTGATATTACTATTTCATTGAAGTACTAAAATAAAACTTAACGAATATTTACATGAACTAAACCATTGCTTTACGATTATCCCCATCATCACAATCGGCTACAGCCATAGTTGTCATGCTGTGCACATTCTTGTAGGTATAACTCCTTGCAACAAAAACATAGACACATAAATTTACCGCTGTGATGGTAGCCAACAACCAGTAAAAATAGTCAAGCCGGCTGCTATTTAGATCCTTCCCAAACCAACTCTTGCCACTGTTCTCTGTGATATGATCCACAATGGTTATCAAGAGGCTGCTAATAAAATTTGCAGCACCGATTACACTAAGGTAAAGTGCGATGCCCAAGCTCCTCATGGTATCGGGTACTTGGTCATAGAAGTATTCTTGCAATCCCACTAAGGTAAATCCATCTCCTATTCCAATGATAAGGAATTGTGGTGCTAGCCAAAACACACTCATTGAAGCTGAACCCGCAAAAAGATTTTTATGAACAACATTCAGTCTCTTTCTCTCAACCAAAGCTGCAACTACCATAGTAGAAACCGAGAAGATCATTCCAATACCGATCCTTTGGAGAATACTAATGCCTCTCTCATTTCCTGTTGCCCTTCTCATGAAAGGTACAAGGATTTTGTCATAGATTGTGACAGATATTATCATGCCAACTGCTGTCAGGGCATAAATTGAGGCTGGGGGAATCTCAAAATTGTGAATGATTTTCCGATTCATTGTCACGCCTTGTTTTATGAAAAAAGTTGCAGCTTGTGCTACACATATACCGAACGGTAAAGTGGTTAGCCAAATAGGAATCATGTTGATAAGTAGCTTCAGTTCTTCCACCTTGGTCACAGTTGCAAGTTTCCATGCATTCTGTTGCTGTTCTATTGAATCTTGTGTGTGATCCAGGATTGCAGCTTTATCAAGGAACCTGTAAAGTAAAATAAAAAATTATATTCAATACTATAATCCACCTTTCCTGTGTAATTGCATAACTAATCATGACTAAGTTCGAATCTTACTTCAGCTTTGTGGTGTGGCCTAAGAGCTTCCTTTGGGTAGTTTCTGACTTGGGAACTTCATGTAGATGAGAAGGATTTGAAGGAAGATGAAGATTTCTTTTTCTAATTGCAGCTATAAGCACCTGTAGCATGGGTGTTAATGGACTTCCAGTTGTTTTTCTATAACGATAGGATGACCGCCCTGCAACGAAGATGGCTATACTAGAAGCCATAACTACTGTGAGTATTATATCTGCCATAGCCCAGCTAACATGTTCTTGGACATAAACGATAAGAGTAACACCAAGTAATAGTCCACAGCAAAGCCCAAAATTCCACCAGTTGAAAAAGGACATCTTCTTTCTTCTTTCTTCAGGATTTTCATCATCAAATTGATCAGCTCCAAAGCTCTCTAGAGAAGGCTTGTGTCCTCCGGTTCCAATAGAGATTAAGTATATGGCAAGGAAGAAAATTGGCTCGTGGACTTTCTTTGATTCATCACAGAGGTTACTGTCACAAGGTTTTAAGCTCGGGACCACTCTAGACATTGTCAAGAGAAGCAAGCCCTGATCCACATTTAAGCGAGAACAAATAAGAGATCATTTTTGGGTGTTGGGCAAACAATTATTTTTTTACGATATCTAAAAGTTCCAATGATTCTACAACCAAAATTTGTGTTTATGCAGAGATGATAATGTGATCCATTTCTTGATGTTTAAATAGGATTTCCAGAAAGTATTCATTTGCTATCTATAAGTAGAGGATTGTTACCAATCATTGCAAGGGATTTTAGCCGATTTCAGTTTTTAACACAGTTCATTACCGTTACTACTCTAGTAGGGTCAACAGCTTTTGCACATGCTTTTCTTTATTGTAAGAAAATACTCTAAACTGCCATTCCATGTTGTAAATTGCAAGGAGCGGAAATTGTGGTTACCAGGAAGTAGACCGTGGAAGAGACAAGAACAGTGGAGAATCTTCCCAAGTATGCGTCAGCCAGAAAGCCTCCAAGCAATGGCATCAAAGTGGTAACCCCTGACCAGTAGTTCACACTTATTGCTGCTGTTTTGAGGTCTTGATGGATGACTTTCGTTAGGTATATGATCAAACTTGTGGCTATTCCAAAGTAACTCAGCCTCTCACTGAATTCAATCGCTGTTTGAAAGGTATCAATTTTTCACTATCTCCATTTACATAACCATAAAGGACCATGCCCAACAAAATGAAAAATATAATGACATTTAATTTTAACCAACTTGAATTGCATATAATCCCAGATCACTATATGGGGTAATTTTTTCTACCGCTTAGTTTATTGGCATATAGAATAATCTTCATGTATAAGTTGTAATTCTTAATATCCTTATAAAAAAGGTGTAATTCTTAATATAAACAAAGATGTAATGAACAAAAGTATTGTGCTAAGATACTGCATAATATTTGGGGCCAGTAGGATGGAATCTAGGACTAGGATAAATCTAGGACTATTGCAGCAGCAAGAGAAGGCATCAATCTATTATGCAATTTATGTTACTATGGTACCATATACTTTTTTTCAGTTAGTTCCTTAACTTTTAGAAAAAATGAAAAGATGTTTGCAGAGGCCGGTGAGTTATTTACTTCTTCATTGGCCACTAGTTTTTTATCGAACCATGGCCAACCAGGTAGAGAAAGGTCTATTTCTTGAACAAGCTGATCAATATCTACAGCGCTTAAAAGGTGATTATTCTATTCAGTTAATTCTTGATTAGTCATTTCCTGACAGATGAACTACTAAATCATATAAGTTTATGAGCATTTATTGGATGGTATAATTCTTCCATTATCCTCCGTAGATAAAATAATTGAAGAGAACAAATGACTCAAGAAATTAATTTGGGAAAAGAAAATTCACAAAATTCCGAAACATCTTAGCCAGTTTCTGATTTAGGAGGTTACTCAAATAAGTTTGGATTGCACAGAAGCGACTAAGATAAAAAACGGTATTAGAAGGGAACAGTTTCAATAACATGAAAATAAGTACTTTTGAGGAATATCCACCCTCCCCATATCTGTCTGTTCTTTGTGCTTCAAATGCTTATTTTAAGACACAGTTTCAAGCATTCCTTTTGCTGGTTTGGGGAAGTTCCTGAATATTTCTTAATCGTGGAGTTCTTTCCTTGTTAAAGACCAAGCAGTCGTCAAACTTACAATATAAAATTAGTAACGTAACTTGACTCCTCTTGTGTTATGACTTACTTACTATTCCAATCATGCAGCCCTGAGCATCATGGAAATGGAATGTTTAACAGATCTGAACCTAGTTTTGACTTATTTCTTAAGAGAGTGATAGTTAATTTAGTATTTGGCCAATTTCTCTTGTATATGTTAAAAGCATCTATTCTAGCTAGTACTAAGATCATGATTGCTTACGATAAGCTAGAGCTCTTTTTTTATCTTTAGTTCTATGGATAGCTTAGGACTGGAACTCACAGGATAGATAATTGTAATACTCTGAACAATCTAAACTGAAGAAGCCATTCAAAATTTCTTTATCTTTGAGTAATTATAGATCATGAGAGGGAGAAACATTAGACATATAAGTGAAGCTATTGAGTGTATGCCATTTTGTTGGATCGATGCTTACCAATGATGAAGAGGGAGGCCTTCCAAACACCAGTTGAATCCCTAAGAGGAACTCTTCCTTTATGATCGACAGAAGAATCATAAACCCATTTTTCCCCATCTATTTCTACTGATTCTGCTTTCATTACCTGTTCTATCTCCACATTTATCTTATCCATTTTTGGACTCTAAGATATCAGAGAAGATATATCAGTACTAAAGCGGCTGAGATAAGAAGTTGGTTGGTCGGTTGGCTGCATGAGTTTGTACATATTATATAGGAAGAAGAATTCCTGCTCACTACTATTGTCAAGGTTCTTGAGAAGTGTGAGTGCCAAGAAATGTGAAAGTAAATGGAATTTATAGCCAATGATTGCGACTTGAGGTAGAGAGACAACCCTTTCCACTAACTTAAAGCAGTCCTTGGCTCTTAACAGCGAATGGCATCGATGCTACAATCAGATTCTTCTATTTGGAACTCTTGGCACAAAAGTGGCCATGATAGGTATTGCAGAGAAGTGTTTTTACGGTTGTATTATTTTGCACCTCTGAAATATTAACACCTTTTTTATTCACACTGTTCCTTGTTTTTATCTTTTATTTTGTTGATAGGATTCGAATACATACTGTTCGTGAAATGTTGGATTACCCTCATGTATGGTGTTACATCAGATGCTATTGGAAGAAGAGTGTAATATTAGGGTCCTTATTGAGGGGATAGTTTAATAGTAGAAGCATAGGAGTAACCACCGAGAGATCTCAGGTTCTAATCCTATAGTTATAGTGTGAGATCATCTGGACCTTTTTAGGCAAACTTTACCTGACATGTTTGTGCGGGTTGCAGTAGGCAGCCTGATGGATTAGTCGAGGTACACACTAGCTAGTCCGAACATCATTCTCACAAAGTGCAATAACTGAGATCTTTAATTGATGTTCAAAATATCAGGAATTTTTTTGTAATTACTGTTGGTAAAATTTTTGTCATTCTTGGAAGTACTATAAACTTCTTCCTTTAAAAAAACAAAAACTGGCATTTTATTCATCTTCCAACAAAAAAGAGTATAATGAGCTGAGGGAGCTGAAGCTAACTACAAGCTTCCCTAATTAGTTTTGGGGATAGTTTTAAACTATCTGTGACACAATGAAAGGTAAAGTACATGAAAGTGAATCATATTTTTGCGTCATACTTACAAAAAAGTCTGTTGTTTATTTTCCTTTCCTGGCTTGGTTCATTTTGGTGACTGTTACAACAAGATAATGGTGATAATAAAGGCCATTGATATATCTGATTCCACAAGGTAGATTACTACATTCTTTCCATTTTACATGACAGGCTTGTTATTTTGAGCGTTTTTTAATCTTTTTTTTTTTGGGTTATTTGGAGAGCTATACAATGTGACTATTTGTAAATACATTTAGATTAAAAAAAGAACAAATATCTGATGTAACAAAGTGATGCTTTGATTTTTGTACTGCAAAGTTGTAATTCTTGTTGCCCAATGAAGTGTGTTCATATGTCAAAGGCATAGCTTTAATTTGGTGTATTAATAGGAGAATCAAGGTGATAATTATTTTACTTAACTGCTAGAATTAAATAGGATATCTGGAAGTCAGTGCTAAGTAAAAACAATTACTATAAATATGCTCTTCCACCGGTAGTATTTTTAAGCTGAATTTTTCTGCTTCATTAAACCACCTCTCTGTCCACCATGAAGTTGTGGTTTATATATATTTTAAGCAGTGTGGTTTTGTTGGAACAGATACATTTGAAGACTTCGGATATGTGCATTATATTAAATATTAGTACCTCTTAACTTTTCCTTCTCGATGAGGAGGTGAGAAGGGTGGTAGAGTGCTCACAAACAAACCATACCGAACAAGATTTTCTAAATGGACCCGAGTCAATTCGAATTGATCTTGTAAAAGTTATGCTACAGAACGAATACGCTTATTTTTTAATTAATTCACATCCTCAAGAGTACCCGTTCCAAATTTCACCCGAATCAAATAATGGCATTTCAGATATAAAAGGTTAATCCCATCAAAAATTGTGGTAGGATGGATATGATTCTTTCATCTTTAAACCAGAAATTTGGTGTTTGAGCATTAGAAATTAAAAAAAAATCCAAGCAGGGCGCCCTCCCCCCTATAATGGGTTTTATGCAAAGCAAATAATGATTTAGCTGGGACATCAAAGCAAATACAAGACACCGAATAGGAAACTAAAAAGAAGATAGAAAAGGTTAACCGTGGGAAATGCAATAATTTAATTAGGGTAATATTGAGCAAAGCAACTTCTTTGTTTCCTCACATGTTTAAAGTGAGTTTTCAATAACTAAAATAATTACCTCTTAGCCCCCAGTTGCACATGTATGTGAAAGTAAGTAATTGTACTAAGCATAGTTCCACATAGAAGTGACACAATCAACATGTTATTTGACAAATACTGGTGAGTGAAATTTAAGCCTAAAAGTATTTGTAGTGGAGTAGATGCCTCACGTACAATTAAAAACTCAAATCAACGTGCTTTTATTGAACGAGATGTATGTTGGAAATTATTAAAGTAAAAGTGTAGAAGAGGAAATATGGATTCAAGGCAAATTTTTGTTACCACTTTATAAAGTGGACCTTGCTACGTACCACTACAATAATATATTAAAACTTATACTCTAGTCTAAAAACACTTCACTCTTGGCCAAGCGAGAAGGAATATTTACTATTATGCATATATTTATATCTTACAAACTCCCTCCGTTCACTTTTACTTGTCCAGTATTCTAAAAATATATTTTCACTTTTACTTGTCACTTTTAGCATACCAAGAGAAGACAATTTCTTTTTTTCTGTTATACCTACAGTATTAATTTGTTATTTCAAATAATTTTCTTAAATCTATTAACAATATGCATAAATTAATATGAGTATCGTGATAAATTATACACTTCATTTATTATTTCTTAAGGGGTGTGCAAAATTCATAGTGGACAAGTAAAAATGAACGGAAGGAATATATACTAAGCAAGGGTAGATAAACCGTATCCATTAAACTTAATTTAAATTCTGGATTCTTCTCTAACATTAAGATTATGATATTAGCGCGGATTATCATACAAGACATAATATCCCGTCTCATGAGCGAAGAAAAAAATTGGTTTCTTACTTTAATCTGATTAGAGTTGTAGTGAGAAAGAAATTATGTTGGTTTGTGGCTCCATTTCAGAATTAGGAGAATCTTAAACAAAAAATACTAGTACTCCATAAGATTGACCAGTACAATGCTAGAAACGTGGATGGGTTATTATTAATAATCTTAGCCAAGGATAACAAAGTCAAATGTTGGTATTTGCCAAGACTTGCCTTTCTGGATGCAATTATGAATAGAGAATTCGATTCTCTTGAAAA